AGCTCCAGCTATTTAATTCAGTTAACCATACATTCTGTATGTTACTGATTTAATTTTTGCAATGTCTGTTTGCCTACTGCATATTTAGTAAATTAATCTTGTATTTGCTTACAAGCCAGCAGCAGAAAATCAGATAAACTTACATGAGATCCATTTTAATAGAAATTCTGATGTGGTTTAATTTTTCCCTCGCCCTTACATTCAAATGAATTGATACTTTCACCCAGCAGAGACAGACTGCATTTCAGGGCAACAGAAATCTATCCCAGAAGTTACAGTACTCTGATCAGTTTTGGGGAGAGATGCACTTATCAGTGCTTATCAATAAATCATGCTGTCTGATCCATGAAAGCCACCATTGGATTAATAGGGAAGTCTTGCTTAGTCTTCCCAGAAAGAAGCATTTGACTGCCTTCAGTAAGCAAAGCAAAATAGGAAGGAATGAGAGAGCATATATTAGAATAGGGAAGATGTCTGTCTGTTAGGCACTGAAGAGTCTCTCATTTTCCTTGGCATTGTTTGTTTTTCTCATGTGTGATGGTGTACAGGTTGAAACTCTCTTAACTGGGATTCTCTGGTCCAGCAATATCCATGGTCTGGCACACATGTTGCAGGACCAGACAGACCCGGCAGAGGGCCATTCGCAAGGATCCACAGAGGGCTGGCAGGACAGTGGGCTGCCCACAGTGAGCTGATGGCGAGGCTGCCCAGCTCGTGGCAGCATGGCTGCCTGGCGGGGCTGGGAGCCACGGTAGCTCAGTGGAGCAGAGAGCTGCAATGCGGGGCTGCCTTGGAGGGTCTTGGAGCTCAAGTGCAGCGTGTGTGTCCTGGAGCCACAGCAGCAATGGCTGCTCAGCGAGGTCAGCATGGCAGCAAGACCAGCAGGAGATCCGGAGGCCAGTGGGCTAGGCCAAGGGGACCAGTGGCAGAGGTCCAGAAATGACCTCCCCTGCTCCGGCAAAATCCCTCATCTAGGACTGGTCAGGTCAGGTCCCGAGAGTGCCGGACCAGAGAGGTCCAACCTGTATATATTAGTTTGAAAAATCAGTGACATCATCATTCCCTATAGAATGAACGCACAATGGCTCTTTAGTCAATTATAGGGACCACATAGCCAATTATAATTGCTTTTCAGTCTCAAATGTTTGTTATTTTTTTTCCTTTGAAAAAAGTTTCTGATACTGATACTGTGGCATTTTATTTGCTATTATTGGACAAATCATTTTATACAGTGAACCCACATTTGAAACAGAGAGGCGACATCACCTTTTAGCCTGTTGATTACCTTTGCAATTGCTTGAACCTTTTTTCCTGTGTTCTGAAAAATACTAGAATCCATCTGCACTATTACACTTTTCTCTCTTTTATGGAAGTGCAAGAAACTGCTGCTACTTATATTAAATGTTGTGTATCACATTTAATTTAATTTTAAACCGAAGGAGCATTTCTTAAGTTTAGAATTTCTACCAAATTATATTTTTATCTGAATGTTATTTCATATAAACATAGGCGTAATCTGAATAAGTTTGAAACTGTTACTCCACTGGTATCTCAAGAAAGATTTGTGCTTTCAAAAATGTTCAGTTAGAAATACTACATAATTTACAGCATTATTCCTTGTCCGTTTTTGTTTTGCTTGAGGTATTCATTGCATGAGAATTACATTAGAAAGCTATATCCAAAGGTGATTTTTTTTTTGGCAGTAAATTTTTTCTGGCTTAATAAATCTGCACTGATCTGACCTGAACTTTAAACTTGAAATTGTTTCCTGCACTTTAATTCCTGCTTGGTATTTTATTCCTCAATTTTACTTTCCATATTTCTGTAGATCAGATTCATTGTTTATATACAAACATACTCATTCAATACACAGTGCTTAGGACAGGCTAGCAATCACGGCTGATAATTACAGTTTAGAAAGTGTGTGCTTTTTATCAGCAAAAATTGTGTATATAAATATATACAATATAAAATCTAATGCAAGGCACTTACCCTGTGTCAGCACCTGTGGTTTTTAAATTACTACAATGCTTTCAGATTTGTTTCAAGATCATACAGTGATAATCCTGTTATATTTATAAATGCTGTTATAAAATATACTTTTAGTTTTAAAAGAAAAATTTTATATGTACACTTTTAACTTTCATTTTAAAAAACTTGTGTTAAAGTTTAAGTCAAAGTACTTAAAAAGTATGTATATTATCCATACAAAGTTATGTTTTAAGCTTATAATAAGAAATAAATTCATATCTCATATAGAGATACAATTACTTTAAAAAGCCCATTTTTGTCTTCAGAAATGAATCATACTTACTGTAACTTCCTTTTTTGAACATTCTAAAATAATTCCTTAGCATGGGAAAGGGAAGGTATTATTTAAAAAAAAAAAAACTAATTGTAAAACCTCTCACTAACTACAGCTTGCTTGTTGGATGTTTACCATAATTTGTTGTTTCAAGATAGAGATATAAAAACAAGGTGTTTTTTTAGCTTTTTTAAATAAATTTCCAAATATTAAAAAGGAGTTTTATGTATTTGGTCAATTTTCCTTTTGTAGTTAACTGATTTCAGTTTTTCATCTACCCGTTGATAAATATTGTTTTCAGAAGGTTTTGTCTGTGGCTAAGGTGCCATCCTCTTTCTATTCCTGGTTTGTTTTACCTGGGTGGAAACTGGATTACAGTTGCAGTGCTGTGTTGATGTGTGGAAGTGTGTGCAATGATTGCCTTCTTTGCAGAGTAATTTCTCAGTTGTACGTTTTCTTCATTCTGGCCAGTTTCCTACATAGTCTTATATGAATCTTTTCCTGGGGATTTTAATGACTTTGCTGCTAATGCAAAAATTTCAAATACTTTATAGACAGAAATCTCTTAACTGTTGGGAAAGTGGGGGTGGAGATATAATGGAAAATGTACGTGGATCAGCTGAACTAACTGATTTAACTTTTATTTCCATTCTGACAGCTTAACATGCATTTAAAAGCAAATTAAGTTCAAATTATGCCCATTTCTAGTCATCATGTATCTTGTATAAATGTACTACTGTAAACCTGTATTTTGGTTATAGTGCTTCAAAAGAGTGTATTTTTGGAATGTTTTACACTTCAGGAAAGAGTACTGAATTCCAGGCCTAGAGATCCAGATGATAGTTAAAGTGAGAGAGGTAATCAGAAAATAATGTGACTAAATCAGTATTACTTCCAGGTTTGCAAGATAAAGCACATCAAAAATTGTTATGCAACTGCAGTAAATTCTTTTGACAGTTGCATGCCTTTTTATTAATACTTATTATATAATACCAATCAAGAGTGATTCAAGACATTAAACTTTGTTTAAAACATGTAAGACGTTGTAAATGGAACACCAATAATATTTAGCAACAGGCAATGCAAGGGGGGCATATTTTAAATATTTCCTTTTTAAAATGTAAATATGCAGTACTATGTTACTGTAGACCTGAACTCCATTATGGTTCAATGGTTAGAACTAGACATGCTACTGCTTCATCGTACCAGCGCAATGGAAAACATCAGTAAATTTTTCTAGCATTGCCCACCCTTGAGGCAAGCATGCTTGTGGTACAGTTCTAGCTTTATG